GATGGGAACATGCTGATATGGGAAAATTTGGCTGTGAACTGAGGTGATGCAAACTTGAGCATTTTGACTAAAGGCCGGGTTGACTAGAAAGACATGCCACGCATGCACAAACCTCTTGGTGGGTGATTAGGAATGAATAAAAAATTACACAACAAAATAGTACTTATTGTTATAATTACTGCACTGTGGTATAGACTACCTAGAGAAATGGAGTCAGTGCATGGAAAGGAGTCATTTACCATCTGGATAGATCAAATCAAATGACAAATATGGACATTGAAAAATGTCATAAAAGCTAAATCTTCTCATGTGAAAAAAAAAGAAAGAAAAAGAAAATAACATCTAAAGTGGAGACATGGAATCTTGTCACTGGACATGTGTGTTCATTTGTACACAGTCTGCAAGCAGCACACCATGCATGTCTGCTCACGTATGCCTGATGCCCTTATTCAGGGCCATGTGATGGCAGTTAAGCATCTGGAACCAGTGTGTTAAGAATCCCAAATGAAATTTTTGTAGTCTGATGTAAGTGAAACTTGAGACATGATGGTGTTGTATGGTCTCACATGTGGGAAGAAAAAATTATATGTATGCGTGTGTGCTTGTGGATATATTTTCACATTTGTGTGAGTGTATGAGTGTATGATCGTGCATGTGTGCGTGTGTGAGTATGTGCGTCTATCTTTCTGTCTGTCTTTGGGTGTGTGTGGGTGTGTTTGCTTGCGTATATGCTTATGTGTATGCCAAGATAGTAGTGTATGCTAATTTGTACTATTTGTGTAGGATTACAAGAAATGCTTCAATCTTCACATATGGGAAAATTTGGATGATGACATTTATGTCCACCTATTTGATGAATTACTTGTTATTCCATGTGTGAATTAACATGAATAAAAGGACATAATAATGTTAGATTGTGATGCATAATCCAAACAGTGGAAGAGTGTTTTCCTTATAACATTCTAAATAAACCTAATGGCAAATTCATTCTAATCTGGTAAGAGGTAGCTATTAGATACAATAGTATGGCTTTAGAATCAAGGTAAAATTACCTATCATCAGTGATTTGAAATAGCAAGAAAACTTTTTTTGTTCATGATTTCAGAAAATGAAAATTGAGACTGGAACGAGACATAGAACATAATGAAGTGATAAATAGAAAAAGAAAAAGAAAAACATTTGCATTATTTCTTATTTGAGATTTAATTTAATGATGTTAAAGTAAATAGATAATCAGAAACGTAATTTGCATATTTATAAACTGATTAATGAAATAGAATCAATATCAGATTTAAGATATGTTCTCTTGTTTTTTTGTAGGTTATTTAAAAGGAAAGCTGGCTACATCCATTGTTAAATGTGTATTACTGTATTAGTGAAAGAACAGTCAACAGGAATGAAAGTGTTTATTACATATTTTGGAATCTTAGATTATCTTTTCTTAAATAATTTTCCAGATTTTTCCAAATTTGTTAGGTAAAGATACTGAAACTTTGATGAGGTTATAATTTCTTCTTGATGAGCTTTGGCCCTGTAGATTGCTATTAAAGATGTGGGAATATTTGATTATATGAATATGTATAATGATCATGAATCCATTTTTAAAGACCTATTAAGAGTAGGATTTGCATTGATTTTGCTGGTTATTGATGGTAATGATGTGATTTTGTTGATAGAATCAAAGCGTAAATGAACTTTGACAGAATATTTGATAAAGCTTAATAATACATTTTAATTTTTTTTTTAATGAAAAAAGATATCTGTAGAAACTATGTTTCTGATATTCTATTTGTAGGAGTGTAATGGATGGTTAGAACAATATTGCTTTAATATAGAAGGTACTTTGTTTCAAGAAAACCACTTGTTTGTTTAAGGACTGAATTCAAAATTCAGCTATTTAGGTTATTCAGAATAGTACTGCATACCTCCTGTATCTCAGGGTGACTGCAATTGCTTCCTTGTGTAGAAGTTGTGCCTTCATGTCCTTGAGTAGTGTTATAGTTAATGCTAGGGGGTTGTCCAATCAGGCAAGGGTGGCTCTGGTATTATCAGAGTCCAGGACAGACAATGTCATACCTGAGCAAGGGAGATGAAGGTGTAAAATTGGAATCTGAATCCTCAGAATTGCTACTGTTGTTCTTTGTTTTTTTTTTCTCTTTGTGATTGTTTCCATACTTTAAATTGTATTTTATTTTAATTCAAACTGCTGTCTCTGTTGTCTCTTTCTTTTTATTGCACCTGTCATGTCTGTAGAAGAGAGCACTTGTATTAACCATTATATATAGATAGTAATAGGTTCATTATATCGATTCTGTCATAGATTGATTATTATTCCAAGTGCCTTAGTTATGAGTAATCAAAAATTTTGCATTCCTCACAGATTGAGAGTCTCCAGAGACAGTTAAGGGCCGCCTCAAGTGAAGTGGACTCACTCCATGAATTGAAAGCTGCTCTGCTGGGGGAGAGAGACAAGCAGGAAGCAGAGGCCTCCAAACTGCTAACAGAATACCAGAAAACAAGAGAAGAGTTAGAACAAATTAAGGTTTCGAGTGCAAAGAAAATTGAGCTGCTGCAGAAGACTTGGGAAAAGGAAAAACACATTTTACAGGTGACCTATTATTTTGTTATTTTTATAAGGTAACCACTAATGATGAGAATTCTCACTGTCATACTGAATGACACGCCAGTGAATAACTTATTAATTAGCACAACTTAGAGCAGAATCAAGTTCTCATATTGTGTAGGGACATCATCCTGGTGTGAGGGAGGTTTAGCCATGATATAATAGGGTGTCTCCCCATCTTGAGTGGTTTAAACTAAATAGTTATATTATGGTCAGGCATGTGCCTATTCAAATAAAATAATGAAGTCCTTTTAGCCTTGACTCATGCTTTTTTCCCCTTTGTATCTTGTCTCCTGTCTCATACTTCCTCCTGTCACCTGTCTTCTCAGCCTCTCTGTTCTCTGTCCTTTAATCTCTGTATTTTATTCTCTCTCATCTCATTGCTTGCATTCCTTTCTATTTCTTACTACATTTAAACTTTATCTCTCTCTCTTCCAGTACCTTTTGTTCTATAATTTATCTCCATTCTCTGTTTCTTCTCTCTCTTCTTTTCTGCCTTTGCCTTGCTTTCCCTTCCACTCTCTATATCCATATCTTATCCTCTCCTGTCCCACATATCTACTGACTGTTTCTACTCACCTTTTCCAGGAGAAAGTGGAGAACCTGGAAGCTCAGAATAGTCAAGTGGATATTTTGAAGACCAAATGTAAGAAGCTGGTTCAGGAGAAAGCAGGGCTGGAGGAAGAGCTAAAGAAACAGCAAGTCCTTGTGGCAAAAGGTGTCAAAATGCAAGGAGAAGTTTTAGCCCTTAAAGAAGAGAAGAAGGCCGCTGACATCATACTCGAGACCACGCAGAAACAGAAGAAGGCCCTTGAGGACAAGTTAAAATCCTTTGAAAGCCAAGTCACAGACCTGAAGAAGGCAAAAGAGAAGGATGAGAAAAAATCCAAATTGGAACTTGGCAAAGTGCAGGAGTTGGAGGAAAGGTTGAGAGAGAAAGATTTGGCTTTATCAGAAGCTGAAACTAAGCTGAAGGATTTGAATATTAAACTTGAAGATATGGAGGGTGCTAAACATCTGCTAGAGGAAAGTGCTAGAGAAGCCAAGGAGAATTCTGAGAAGAATGAAGCTGATGGAACAAAGCTAAAAGATGATCTTAATGAAGCTTTAGAGAAGAATAAGTATCTTGTAAGTGAATTTGATGATTTTAAGGCCAAGCACAGTGAGCAAATAGAAGTGTATACCAAAGAGATTGAGTATTTAAAATCAACAATGGAGAAACAGATGGAAGAGAGCAGAGTGCATTCGGAATTAGAGTTGCAAAAGATTAGTGAAGAAAAGGGAGAACAGTTCAAACTGATTGAGGAGCAGCATCAGGCCTTGAAAGTAAAAGAACAGAATTTGACAGAAGAAAATGCACAATTGAAGGATAATGTAGAGCAATTAAGAGGTAGCAGTCAAAAACTGGAAGAAGAGATTTCAGAGTTACAAAGACAGCTTAAGGAAAAAGATGCACTCAGTGCTGATCTCCTACAGAAATATCAAGCCAAAGAATCTGAAAATGTTGGTCTTGCTGAAAGCAAGGACAAAGTGGAAGAATTGATGGTGCAGGTAAAGGAATTTACTGAGGAAATCAATAAACTTAATGAAGAAAATAAGGCTTTGCTTGATAAATGTAACAGTCTAGAAACAGAGACATCACATTTGAAGGAAAAGTTGGAAGAAGCACAGATGGAAAAGCAAAATCTAGAAACTGAACATTCCAAGGCTGCTGGAGAAAAGGGAAGATATCAGGAAATTGCTGATGAATGCAAAGAAAAAGTCGATAGGTTAAATGAAGACATAGAGAACCTAAAATCTGAGAACAGCAAACTAATTGCAGATGCATCAGATGTAAACGATACACTGAAAGATGTCCAGGAAACTGTGTCTTCAATAACTTTAGCTTTTAAGGAAGTTTATCCTATTATGAGTGAGTCCCTCATTTCTTCAACTTCTGACAATCTCTTAGCAAGACTGAAAGGTATTCAAGAGCTTTTAGGTGAAATTGGCAAGAAGCGGGAGAGCCTCAGTCCAGAGGAGTGGGTAAAGACTGTCACAAGTTCACTTGAACAGTTCCAGAACAGCTTCCAGGTTATTGTTCAGTCTAAGACCAAGGTATCTGAAAAGTCTTGTGAAGATTGTTTTGGTAGTTTAAGCAAAAGTTTTATCGATGTTTACAAAATTACATTGTCTATCTTGGATCTCCCTGAAAACTCAGTCCTCGAAGAGAAATGCCAACAGATCACCTCATCATTTTCAAAGCTGTGTGAAGGTTTGAGTAAAGATTTGGAAATGGCAAATCAGATGAGTGAGGAAGTGAAAAAGATTACCCAAGAAAGAGAGGCATTGCATGAACAGATACAGAAAGTGAATGAAGAATCTGACAGGAAGATCAAAGAGGTGTCTGCCCATCTTGATAACACATTAAAAGATAAGAACTGTGAGTTAGAGAACAAAAAGGAAGTTATTGCTGAGCATGAGAAGACTGTGAAGAAGCTAGAGAAAACATTAGAGGAGGAGAAAGCATCATTTGAAAAACTGTCAGCAGAACATAAAGAGAAATTGTCTGTTTTAGAAGAAAAGTTAACTGTGAGGGAAAAAAGACTTGGTGAATTAGAGACACAGATAACATCAGGTGACAGCCAGAAAGAGGAGATTGTCAGTAACTTAAGAAAGCAATTAGAGAGCATTACAGAAGAAAAGACAAATTTAGACAAGAAATTAGAGGAAGTTATTGTACAGAAAGAGCATATGGAGAAGTCACACAGAGACCAGAGTGAGGAAATGGCCAGCTTGCTAAAGAAAGGGGAGGAACTGACCTCTGAATGCAACTCCCTCCAAAAGGAAAAGGAGGCTGTAGCAAATAGCCTGGAAGATGTGAAGAGGGAGTTCACCACGAAGGAGAAGATCTATCAAGACGAGAAGCATGAGTTAGAGAAGAAAGTCGTCCTGCTATCTGAAGAGAAGATCAGTTTAGAAAAGGAATTTGCCACCATGAGTCAGAGCAGGAAGTCCAATGAAGAAGACTTCAGCTCAAAGAGAAAAGAACTCGAGGAACAAATCCATACTATCGCAGAGGAAAAGGCCAGCCTAAAGGGGGAACTTGAGGACAGGAAGAGAGAAAATGCAACTCTTCAAGAAAATATTCAGGAACTGGAGAAGAAGCTGGAGAAACTTGGCTCGGAAGTGGGGCAGTTGCAAGAAAAGGTCAAAGATAGAGAGACAGAGCTAGAGGTTAGTGTGTGAAATTATTATTTGTTGTTTGTGATTTATTATCCATTTACTTATTTATTCTTGTGAAAATTTAGTGGCTCTGCATGGAGTATCTTATCTGTATATTCAACAGACTAATATATGTATATATATATAAATAAGATCATATATTTATATATATATATATATATATATATATATATATATATATATATATATATATATATATATATATATATATATATATATATATATATATATATATATATATATATATATATATATATATATATATATATATATATATATATATATATATATATATATATATATATATATATATATATATATATATATATATATATATATATATATATATATATATATATATATATATATATATATATATATATATATATATATATATATATATATATATATATATATATATATATATATATATATATATATATATATATATATATATATATATATATATATATATATATATATATATATATATATATATATATATATATATATATATATATATATATATATATATATATATATATATATATATATATATATATATATATATATATATATATATATATATATATATATATATATATATATATATATATATATATATATATATATATATATATATATATATATATATATATATATATATATATATATATATATATATATATATATATATATATATATATATATATATATATATATATATATATATATATATATATATATATATATATATATATATATATATATATATATATATATATATATATATATATATATATATATATATATATATATATATATATATATATATATATATATATATATATATATATATATATATATATATATATATATATATATATATATATATATATATATATATATATATATATATATATATATATATATATATATATATATATATATATATATATATATATATATATATATATATATATATATATATATATATATATATATATATATATATATATATATATATATATATATATATATATATATATATATATATATATATATATATATATATATATATATATATATATATATATATATATATATATATATATATATATATATATATATATATATATATATATATATATATATATATATATATATATATATATATATATATATATATATATATATATATATATATATATATATATATATATATATATATATATATATATATATATATATATATATATATATATATATATATATATATATATATATATATATATATATATATATATATATATATATATATATATATATATATATATATATATATATATATATATATATATATATATATATATATATATATATATATATATATATATATATATATATATATATATATATATATATATATATATATATATATATATATATATATATATATATATATATATATATATATATATATATATATATATATATATATATATATATATATATATATATATATATATATATATATATATATATATATATATATATATATATATATATATATATATATATATATATATATATATATATATATATATGCACTTGAGTGAAGTGTGATGTTATGCATATTTTATGGCATTTTATGATCACTGCCAGATTCCTGAGTATGTTCAACACAGGACAGTTAAGTGTATGAGAAATCTAAATGTGGAGGAGGCCAGCAGGGGTTATAGGGTACAGATTTTTGACTTTATCAGTGTTTATGTTTTTTATGATGAATCCATTGTATGTGCCATTATTATTACAGATGTCTAGTAGTGAAGCAGAGCTAGCCAGCAAGCAGGAGCAGCTCCAGACAATTACAGAAAAACTTCAGTCATTCAGCAATGATTCTCCCCCACCTGCAACTGCTCCAGACAATCAGCAACTGGAAAAACTTGAAGAGAAAATCCAGGAGCTTCAGCAAGAGAGGGATGTTCTAAAAAAGGTTAATAAAGTCCGAGGAAATGTACTGCTTTTTAGTAACACATTAATATTGTTATTGAATACTCATGTATCCATATTACATAGTTATGCATTTATATATTAATACATTTGCTCCTGAACAGACAATCCAAGGTTTAGAGAGCGAGTTGTCTTCGGCCCGTGAGTCAACCAACCAGGCTCAGGACGCACAGAGCGAGGCCATGAGCACAAGCACAATCAGTCGAGCGGAGGACACCCAGCGCATGAAGGAACTGGAGGACACGTTTGAGGAGAGGTATATGAAGGTAAGAGATTACAAGGCTTTCAACAGTTATTATATACATTTTTTTAGGAGAAAGAGGGTATTATATGTTTTCTTTTGTTAAAATTGAAACCCAGTACTAAACTATTTTGTTGCAGAAATCATTGCAGTCCCTAATATGTCATGAAAATTATGCCTACACAGCTTACACAGTTTACAGCTCAATACAAAATCCAGAACCCCATTAGTATTGGTTATTCATTGTCTTCTTCACCATAGCTGAAGAGCGTTGCCATCAAACTGAAGAAACGAGTAGCAGAACTCACAGCCCAGCTCAACTCGTCGGAGGAATCGCGCAGTAGATTAGCCACGGAAAAAGATGATCTTAAGAAGAAGTTTGACATGGGAGCCAAAGATAGCATGAAAACGGTGTCAAAGAACATACAGGTATACTTCTTGTGTGGATGTGATTGATATAACTGTAATTACCTTCATCATTTCTAGTATCTTCGTATTACAGTCCCTGAAATTTATGTTTTACTTCACTACAGAATGATTTATAACTATCCTATATCCTATCACACAGGCTCTTCAGGGTGAGATTGACAGATTGCAAGATGAAGTAGACAGCAAAGTAAAAGAACTCAAGGACACTGGAAAACAGCTTCTGGCAGCGACTGAACAACTAGCAGCTGCAAAGTCTGATTTGGCAAAGATGCAGGAGGAAAATGCTGTTATATATCGTACAGTAAAGGTAATGTGTGTCTTCTAGCAAGATTATCTATTTCACCTTTTTATTTTATTAAATTTGTAAAAAACATAATATTTTAATTATTCCTGGATTCTCATCTCTTCCTGCTCCTCCTCCTCTTCCCCTTCTATTTCCTCCTCTCCTTCCTCTTCCCCTCCCCTTTCCTCCCTCCTCCTCCTCCTCCCCCCCTCCTACACTTAGTGACTAATGCATATTCCTTTGAACACTGGCAGGGCCTAGAGGAAACAATTGCCACACAGGAAAGTGTCACCTTGAGCTTGCGTGGGCAGGTCGCTAGCCTGGAGGAGCGCATAGCAGCCGAGGTGCAGCAGCAACACACCCTCGAGGAACGCAGGAGGAAGGCTGATGAGCAGATTGAGGAGGAGAGACAGAAAATTTCCCAACTCACAAGGGAACTGGATGAAGCAAAGCAGGCAAGTTGTTGTTATAGTGTTTGGGGGAAGAGAGAGAGAGGGAAGAAGAGGGTGAGGGAGAGAGGGAAAGGTAGGAAAAGGGTGAAGGGAAAGATAGGGGAAGAGATAAGGAAAAGGAGGGAAAGAGAGGGGGGGAAACTGGAAGTGAAGGAAAAGGGAGAGGGAAAAGGAAAGAGAAGGATTTTATTTATGGACTAGATGCTTTGAGGGAATCTAAAACTAAGCTTACGTAATACACACGAGTACATTTAGATACATTGCATACATGTATACATACATTTGCATGCTTATTTGTTCTCAGCACACATCTATGTTACTGTTTTGATAATAGGGACTCTTCAGAATTTTCTTCTGTTAAACATTTATGCTCATTAATTTCTTTTCTAAACATCCACAGGACAGTAAAACAAAGAGCCTGATGGACCTGGAAATGCGGGACTACGAGCTGACGGTAAGCGAACTCCAAGGCCAGCTGGCAGAGAAGGACACCAGTATTGCTGAACTGCAGGCAGAGATCGAGAGAGAGAAGAGACGATCAGGGAGTCTGCAGGATCAGCTGGTTCACCTTTCCACTCAGGAAGCCACCGAAAGAGAGAGAGCAGAGAAGATGAAGGTTTGGATATGTGCAAAATGATTTGTGTGTGGAAGGCATCTTTGTTTTCTATTTTCTTTTGGTTATCTATTTTTGGTCGAACTAGTTGAATCCATTTTGATTTTTTTTTTACTCATATTGTTTTCTTTGTCAACTTGTGTTTGAAAGTTGCAAGGAATAGGTGTAGATACATTTTTTTTCCCCTACCTTTTGTGAAATGCTGATAAGCACCAACCAACATATACGTATTTCCTTGCACATGTAAATATTTGGCATATGGTTTTACAAATAAACTTGCATGGTGTAATGCATGGCCCTTTGGTTGTTTTTAGCCCAAATTAACAGCATCCCTGTATCCCTATTCTGTGCACTCAGAAACTTCTCCTGGATCACAAGACGCAGTTAGCCGAGCTGCGACAAGTACAGGAAGTCCAGGCGGCGGTACAGGAGACAGACCGAGTCACAATTGAACAGCTCACCCAGGTCGGAGGCTGAATTGAGAGGGGAGCATTACTGCTTCCACAAGGCTCATTTAAGATTTTTTTGCAGTTGGAATTGATTTAAGAGCACTGTGATAGTTTAAAGAATATGCTTAGATTATCTCACTACATGTTGAATTTGATTATCAGTGGATGACATTTCTTTTTGTTTTTTACACAGGAAGTTGAAAAGCAGAAATTAGTATTGTCAGAAATTAGCATTGAAAAGACAAGACTAGAGGACGCTTTGAGGAAATCTAAAGCTGTGGCTGATCATCAAGTATGTATCTCATAAGTGTACATGCTAATACTCACACAATAAAAACAAAGACATTTAGATAAAATACATGCATATATATATATATATATATATATATATATATATATATATATATATATATATATATATATATATATATATATATATATATATACAGACTTTTACTTAATTTTTTGTTTTCAGCACACTGTTTATCTGTTTAACTATCTTTTGTTAATGTACTTTGTGATTGCATATATTTTTTCCTATTTAACAGATTGAAGTCTTAGAAGAACAACTTTCAAAACATAAAACTGAAGTAAGTCAGTTAACTTCAGAATTGAAGACAGTTAAAGATGAATTTGAAGGTATGTAAGGATTTGATGTTTTTCAATGAAGTAGTAAGCAATATGATATTCATTTGCACTAAATTCTTCAAGAGATTATATAATATATTTAAGTAAGAGTCATTATCTTCCCTATTTTCATGTAACAAAACTTTAACATCCTTGTGGCAGGATACAAAGTGAGGGTCCACAGTGTATTGAGACAAAAATCCAGAGCACCAGACATTGATGTGAATGAGCTGAAGACCGAGAGAGACCAGCTCCAGAGTGATTATGATGCAGCCCAGTTAAGAATACAACAGTTACAGTAAGTTTAACCCATTTATGATTATGAAGGAGTATTATGTGGTAGTGTTGTCTCATGGTACTTGCATGGCATGTGTGGCATGGTAGCATCAGCTGAAATGCTAGTTATGTGTGAAACAACTTCATGGAGGAAAGAGATGCCAAACACTTCTGTAAAGATAATTAGGCTCATAAATCTCACTTAACTAGTGCTTTAATAAAAGAAACACACAAAGGAAAAGTACTAGAGGTTTTGTAGCTCTTAGTTCCTTACAGAGGGAGTTGGATTTCACATTGCCACAAATTTGTTTTCTTCCTCACAGATCTGAGATCTCTGCAGTGAAGGCAGAACTCAGCTACTTGCAGTCTGAGAAGGATGGACTTTTGCGTCAGGTGTCTTCCATCACTGAGGAATTGACCAAAAGGGAGTCGTCCCATCAAGAGAAAGTTGCCAAACTGGAGAGTAAAATTGAGACTAAGACAGCAGAGTATCAGCTGATCATTGCCAACATGTCCATTCAAAATGAAACTATGAGTAATAGCTTTAAGGCAAGTTTCCAGGTTTTTATTGGTTTATATTTTCATTAATTTTCCACACTCAGATATTTTACACATACTTCATCATTCTATTTATTGTTTTATACTATCAGAATACAAAGATTCAGAATGGCAGAGGTATCTAGACCAACAAATAACCTTACATAACACATTGCAGAAGCAACTCGAGACTCTACGTGACACCCACACTCATGAGGTAGAGGATCTTACAAAGAAACTTGAAGAAACTGAGGACAAGCTTTGGCAGCTCAAGAACAATGTTAATACTGCGCCAGCCCCTCCTGCGAATGCAAGCAACTCCCTTAGTCCATATGCAGGTGTCCCTCACACTAATCGTCATGAATTGGACACACACACCAATACTTCTCACCATAATCAGCACAGACGTCAGCACAGCCATGGCTCAGAGGAGAATAGGATTGATATCACTAACATGATCAGGGAAGAAGGAGAGGTAAGTACCTTCCTACCCTTCAAATTCCTTCTCTTTGTATCCTTGCTGGTGGGGACAGCTTTGGCAGCTTCTGCTCTCTCAGTCTTTCTTTCTCTCCTTTTGTTTATTCTCTGAAAGTCCTTTTGTGCATTGTCTTTGCATTGGGGTTTCCACTCTGTCTTTTGATCTTTTTTTTATTTGTGTTTTGAGCAAGTGCTTTTGATTTTATATGGAGTATCTCTACTTTTGAAATTGTGGATAATAAAATCCAAGTCAGTTGTCATAATTATCTTTCAGATTGAAATATTTAAGTAGGACCATGAATAGTATTATAGTCATATATTATTTTATTTTTAAACTATAAAAAATGCAATTGTGTGAGGATTGGTAATTAAAGTGTGGAATATATGAAGTTCAAATCATGGGCCCTAAGAGACTCCATTTAATGTTAACTGCTCAAATAATTGGTGATGCATGCTACTCTAATCTTCATTCTACACCCAAAGGATTACCATAATTTAGGAGACTATTTTACCTGCACCATTGTAGGGATCAGAGTGGGTGGAGCCTGTACACCATTCCCCGGCTAGACCCATGGGATACAGCCCGCCACCCTTGGAGCAGCTCATAAACTCTCCCCTGCCCTCAGCCCCCAGTCAGCAACCCCCTCAAGACGACACGGTCAGCGTCACCAGTGTTGCCACTGATACCACATTAAAGGAGATAGATAGGCTGGAGACGAAGGTGAGATGGGCCTCTGTAATCCGAAGGGACTCTCTGCAGTCTGTTTCTCTGGGACGGCCTTGGGTGTCGGTGTTTTTTAGAGTGAATGTGTGCATCTAAATGGGCCCAAAAATTCTGGTGGAGTTCAGGGAACATGAACTTGATAAATGTAATATTTTAACAAAGAATATTTATTACTGTTGGATTCTATTAGTGCAGTGCATGGTTTCATTGCAGTCTCAGGATTTGTAATGCTATCTCTGTAAATGGTTAAGGGGATGCAGTTTCTATTATATTTAACTGTTGAGTCCAATCTGTCAGTGTAACGTCCTGTGATTTGTTTTGTATTTCCTTCTGCTTTTTGTGTTGATTAAAATACTGCCTAATTTTTTTTTTCCATTTATTGTGCTTTTTATTGTTTTTTCTCATGCAGAAATTAATAATACCTAATATTCATCCCTTTAGATGCCATGGATTCCATTAAAAATAGTGATACATCTATAGAAAGATATTTTTCACAAAATTTGGGAAAACTTTTTTAAGACATGGACCAAAGCCTCAAGAACTGGTACGGATAGAGGAAAAGAGTGAAATCAGCTAATAAAAATATACCCCTCTTCATAGCTGAATGACTTGTTGTCAAAGTTAGCTGAGGTTGAATGAAAATGAAAACCTTGAAAATAGGCTAATTACCGTAACAAGAAAAGAAAAGGAAGAAAAGAAAAAGGGGGAAAATATATATGTAAAAAATATCCTTTTCTAGTTCCTAATTTCACTTTTCCCAGTTTAGAAGAACCAGTAGCTTTCCAGAAAAAAAATTGTTCCATAGATTTTTTGTTTTGTTTTGTTTTAATGAAATTGCATTTGAAAAGAAATAGCCCCTAATTCTCCCATTGCTCACTCTTAATGCAAGGCTTAGTCATCTACAGTATCTTATGGTTGAATACTATGGATTAACTTGTAATCCCATCTTGTTTTCCGATACTTATGTCCTTGTTTGCTTTACCATGGCACTGAACATGTTTTTTTGTGTTTTAATTTATTTACACTTTCAATTTTTTGAGCTTGAATTGTGGAATTGATGCTTATAAACATGTCATAAAATCTCAGATATTTTGAAAATGAATCCATAACCCAAAGAATTAGGAACAGAAATGTTAACTGTTTTAAGTTTGAATCTAAATATATATCTAAATATATATCTAAATATACATATATATATATATATATATATATATATATATATATATATATATATATATATATATATATATATATATATATATATATATATATATATATAATGTATATATATTTATATAAAATGTATTTTCCAACCTCCTTTCATTTGGGATTTCAGTTGAAATCAGGAGAGATGCGGATTCAGCAGCTGACCTCCCTCTTGCATGAGTCTGAGGCAGAGAACGCCAAGCTGTCCCAACTGGCAGATGCGCTCAAGGAAGAAATCCGAAGATCGGCTCGTAATGAAAGCCGAGAAAAGCACATGGAAAATATGGAATATGCCAAGAATGTGATATTGAAGGTTAGTTGTATTGCTGATATTAAATTTTTGCTCTTGCTGTGATTTGCCTTAGTTCAGCAAAAAACAAAGCATATTTATCTGTTTGAATTTTTACAATTTGTAACTTGTTCACTTTTCTTGAATTCTGCTTTTAACCCCTTGGTGCCGGGTGACGCCGATCGGCGTGTAAACAAAGCGCTCGAAAGCTGGCATGCAGCCAAACGAGCCGGCGGCGCGCCAAAGCGCGGTGAGCCAGTGATTCGGGCTGATGTCCCCTACTCACGCGCTCAAAGTCGGCGCGCCGCCTTTGTTTGCTTAAGCGTAGAGTTTTTTTTTTGTTTTGTACATCCGGCGCCATTGGGTTAAAGTAACATGAGATTTTATTTCATTGTGATTTTGTAGTCATGAACTAAGTGGCTGAGATCATGATAATAGATTAACTTTGATAGTAATTGATCAAATATTAAAGAATTAATTTATAAAGAATGAGGTTTTAGTGTTAAATATTTGTATTAGTTATTTACTGTATATCA